CATCTCTGCTGTCTAGAAATGTTCACAGACTGCGTGTGTACGCCAGATATTAAAACATGTGCCCTTTTCCTACTGTTATTTTTTGTTTGTTATTTTCCTTATATTCTCAAAGTTATACTCAGATTGTGCTGTTGTGGTCATTGCACTTTGGGTAAAATTTTCATCTGCATTGGCCCCCCCCCCCCCCCGTAGTCAATGGAACATTGTGTCACATTGAGGAACGACGTTGGAAAAAACGCCAAACAATTTCTTCTGCCAACTCTCATCGCGGTCATTAGAAGCTGCCCCTTCAGCTGCCCCTTATATATAAACGCATATATTACGTCGTTAGAAGTGAGAAAAAATAACCTCATCAAATTATGCGTCTCTGTGTGTTCAATGGCAGTGTATTTGTTGCGCATGAACTTGTAACCAGGCGGGGTGGCACTGTGGTTAGAACGCCAATCTTTAAGACATCTAACTTTTTTTCTCGTTTGTTGCCACGATGGAGGTCTTTCAGTACATACTTTGTGGGATTGCATGAACATTGACTTTGCAATGGTGCAGCGCATCCTGGGTAATTAAATAAATATGTGAATGGACTTCCATTCTTCTCTCCACATAACACATATTTCAGTCCAGCCTATGGGTCCACCAGACTAATGTTATCCAGCAGCATTTGTTTAAGCCGTTTCTAATTCATGTATTGCCAGAAAGTCAATTCCTGCAAGAATTCTGGCAGAAAATATGACCAAACTACCATTACATTCTTCATTCGAGGCCATTTCTGTAACAAATCAGCAACAAAGCGATTTCAGCCAACACATGAATCAGTACCAGTATGTTTAAGGTAGTACAACAGAGTTGATAAATCACACTAGCATTGTTTTTTTGATTGTCAAACTTTCCACTTGCTCGGCTGCAAGGCAATCCGGGCAGTGTAGCATGTGGGCCCGTGACACGCTACAGATTTGAGAGCGACCCCCCCCCCTCCCTCCGGTGTCTCGAGGTTTTCTCTTAAGTCCCTGCACTTTCTACCCACAGGCAAAACGCCCAATGTAAACAATAAAATAGTAAACGTCATGATACAGAACTCTATGCGTAAAGAGTCCTGCACTGAGACTCAGCGAGGTTTTCCTGGCAAAATGAAGAACATAAGCGCATTTCTAAAAGAAAAAAAACCCCACTATTCCTGGCTTTGCATGCAGGATTTTCAATTATTCTAGTTCAGAGCTCTGACAGGAGTATTAGCCCTCTGAACCGCAAATATAGATTTCCATTGCATTCTTATCACAAGTCTTACCGTGATGAAAATTGCAATGCTCTGGTAAATGCAAACTGCAGCCTGAAATCTTGCTTGAAAGAGCTCATTATTGGATAGTGTGGCTACCAGCCCATGATCCTAGAGCAGATATTTAACTTTGCGGTACCACCTGAAGTGGCATAAATTTCGCTGTTCTGTTTTTATTGATGTGGTCAATGACAGTGAATTATGTGATAACTATTTGAAATTAGGGAGTTATAAAATAATTCATTCTCAGTAGCCACATCAATAAATCAGTACTACTACAGTTTAGCTACCTTGGGTGGTAACAAAATCGAGCTCTGGCCCATGAACAAAGTCCTTATCTTCAGGGCTGGGCCAGAGAGCGGTGGAAACTCCACATTGTGGCGACCAAGCCGCACTATGTATTGGCCCTGTCTATCTGCCTGTAAATGCAGATCGCAATACTTATCTTCAAGATGATCCAATGCAGATGGCATTTATGAGACGTTGTGTTGCTATTAGGGGACTTACCCTATTGACCACTGGACAAATGTATTAGATGGTTGACGAAAGCACGGCAATAAATGTAAAAACTAGCGCTCAATAAGAGCCTTTTAGCGTGGCTATTAGCCACACTAGTCCAGCGCCAGGCTTAGCCACAAACAATGAATCAAAGGGAGCAGCGCTGGCTCGATTCACTGTTCAGTATTCGTGTGGCTTGCTTGAGTATGGTGAAAGAGCCGACCACAAAGCCATACAATAAAAAATACAACTACAGACTTGGCCAAATTCCACATTGATTTATGAAACTTCCCCAATCTTCAGAGCTCAATGTCAACAAATGCCTCTTGAAGTCTATAAAACGCATTACCAGCATATGTAACACCTTTGTATGATTTACAGTCTGCGTGGCACGCAGCACAGAAAGACACGGCATCCAATGCGTTGGTAAGAAGTGAGTCGATTTACGATATTTTTATTTTATTTTTGAACCTTGCTTAAAGCACTGGGCATGATGCATAAAAATCAATCACGTTTTCTAGGCAGTCTCATTTAAATGAATACGCTGCATAAACATTCCTCACAATGTGCCAGCTTCGCTCTTTAGTGAACCAATCGAGAGTGCATATTCAATTTGACAGTGTCACTCAGCTTAAACAAGTAATTAGGCAGGTAGTCCATGGGCCCAGAGGAGCTATTTTACTTGTCAATACGGCCAAAGGTGGCATAATCTCCGTGGGTTACAATTTCTTAATGTGGCCAATAGCAGTGAATTGTATGATAACCATTTAGATTGAGTTATCAAGTAATTCACTCTCGTTAGCCGTGTAAATAAATTGGCACCAGTAAAGTTTGCTACCTACGGTGGTACCAATTTCAGCTTTGGCCCATGGACTAAGTGCTCATCTCCATTGGCCATCCATAAAAGGCGTTATAGAAATTCCACATTTTAGTGACAGGGATCAGTCTACCCATTGGATGATCAATGTTGACTTCCCACAGCAGTGCATATTTGATTGTCTCTGGAGGAATAAAAAACTAAGTTGGAACTCTGAGCCTCAAGGCATGAGAGCCAACATACTCTGGCCTGCTGGCTAGATAGTGGGTGTGTAGCGATCCTCAGTTTTCACGATTCCATGAATTATCGCGATTTGATTAGATAATTTTTGAATGTTTTCCGGAGCAACTGATGCCATGGTGGATATATGAAAACATACATTTCGTAGCCTATTTAATTATGTGTTGTATGACTGGCAGATGTGTGTATTATAAGCATTGTAGAATGTAAAGTTGTAAGGATTAGAATATTGATGAAACGCTAATGTTCAGTTAAGGATTCTTTAGTGGTACTGGAAGCACATTCAGAGCACGTAAATTAAACAATCAAAAAGCCAGCATGCCACGACAAAGTGATGGGATACACAAATCGTAATAATCGTCCTTTCTGATATGGTATCATATCGTATGGTGGAATCTATTTAATTTCCTGAAAGAAAGCTTATATTGATGTAGATGCAGTGGGTCAATACATTATTATTACAAACGCCCTGCAAAATTCGTGTCTAATCCCATAAAGATTAATCAACGCACGTTCTTAAATTCACAACGTATCCATTGAATCATGCCTGTGTAAAATAAGCAAACGTTTATTCGTTTTGTGTACGGTGTACAGAATGAATCGATGGTGACCTCTCCAGCTACTAGAGGCCGACACAATAATCACAATGCAAACCTAAAATAATTGGTTCTACAGTGAAATATCAGCGCTGAAATGTGGCAGGGAATCGAATGACAAGGGCAACGAAGTGTGAAGCCTCTAACCCTGCTCCTTTCGGGCGTCAGATTGTCAAGCTCAGCAAACGTGAGCTTTTGCACGTTTCAATTATCCACAGCTTGCAAGTTAAAATTACACTTGAGAGGGGAAATTAACTGGCACTTTAGATGCACTACACAGCAGCTTACGTAGCATGCAGCTTACATTTACTCAAAATACTTCGATATGTGCAATATAACATTTGCTTGTATGCACCCACACATGCGTGCAATGAAAGTCATGGAATGAATTAGAATGTTTATCTAAAAACCAATAGAAAATGATGAGTAAGTTTAATGCTAGAATCCATATGCGTGCATTGTTAGTATCTTACAAATTGGCTTTATGTATATGCACCGCAGGAAGGATAACCCACGCGTCTTTAAGTAAATGAAAAGAGTATCCCACTGCACAAGTGAAACATAACAGGCACTCCGATCCTGAGTCAATACAGGACATTCCATATTTTATGTGGCAAGGGGCCAGATAATCTAAAGGACATCTCATGAAAACGTCCTACAAAGCAGTACTCAATTTGTTGAGCCCAGAGGGTTGATAGCTAGAGTCGATATTGAAGGGAATTAGAACTTGTTCGCTCCTTGTTGTAATTTGGGAACTCTCCCACCGCACCCGCCTGGCCAGAATATATATATATATTCACATATTTTGACGTGACACACACAAACTTGGGGATACTGCTCTGATGTAATCGTCAGAAAACTGGACGAGCATTCCACAGGACGTCGGTTTGTTCTCCCGGGGCGACGGTTCTGACAACGGGAAAGTGTATTAAACCATCACGCCTCTGTCCAGTGAGCATTATAATGTACGCATGTATGTTGAACTTCTTTCGCACCGCAACCGTGCGCAGTCAACCATGCTAATCGGGCAGTGTGTATAAATGGGTACCAAACAGTGAGACCTTCGGGCCGCCTGCAGTGGAGTAGAGTGGAGGTAGTTCCCAGCTCTTCCACAATGTCTGGCCAGCATGGAAGATGCCGTCTAGAGCAGTGATTCTTAAACTGGGGTGCACGCCACCCCCTGGGGGTGCCAAATGCCCTTTCTGGGGGTGCGAGACATGGTCATATTTTTTTTATAAGGAAAATCATCGAAACACAAATTAAGCACGGGCACGTAAGTACAACTACTTTGTTTCACCAAACCTATGTAGTTATTAACATTATATATATTTTGTTTATGATTGAGAACCAAAGGGGTGCAAGTCTGCAGTCAAGGTTAAGAACCACTGCTCGAGAGTATCTCTCTAGAGCTGCCTCTAGACGAGGCTCTTCTGCCAGCAGTGACGTGAGCTAGACATTGCAGATTTGCACCTTTATTTAATGCATCAATATAAATCATGCAATGTATGCTTGAATGACAAGCACGTGCAGCACACACACACACAGACAGTGCTGAGTAACATAGATCTCTTGTACTCACGGCATTCTGTTAATTTCCCCTTCCTCGAGTAGGGCGACATTACTCCGAAAAACTTGTCGAACAGTTGGGGCCAGCCACTGTTGTCGCCTGCGTGGAGAGGGACAGACGGTTGGGAAGTGAGAACGTTAGATTACATGCTAGGTGAAACATCCATAGCGCACATTGCGTTACTGTGCTATATCCGTGTGAAATACTGCTTTTATGCACATGGCAACATTCACAAGATAGCCTTATTATCGGTAAAGTCACGTAGGTATGAAATAAAATAAATCACGACGTTTCGGGCGCAACACAAGCGTCCATCATCAGGTGGGAAAGCATGGTCTGCTGCTGAGGCAAAGAGTCTGCCTACGTGACTTTACCGAAATAACAAAAGAGTATGGATTCCTGCAGTCACGAAAGCTTCAAATCAAGATTGAGCCTTGTTATCATTATTATGCATGTCATGTGTACAGAAGAATACTATGTAAAAAAACACACACAATGTGTATACAAAGCGCTTGCTCAAAAACTGCCCCAAAATTCAAAGAAGATGACCGTCTTGAAGAGGTCTTGAGATTCACTCAGACTTTTATGAAACTTAAAAAAAACTTGTAAATATTATTATTATTTTAAAGTGTCGCGGTCAAATTATCGCCCATCACAGATGAGCAATGGGGCAGTGCTCATCTCTACTTCTGCCTCTCATCAGTGGCATCACTTGGGTTGGTGTCACTCAGTGCGGTAACTCATGGTGTCACTCAGTGCGGTAACTCATGGTGTCACTCAGTGCGGTAACTCATGGTGTCACTCAGTGCGGTAACTCATGGTGTCACTCAGTGCGGTAACTCATGGTGTCACCACTCACGGACGTCTGCCCGTACTAGACCATACAGAATCCTTAGTAATGCTTTTTTGTACTAATGTTACTCGTAAATCGTAAAGTTATTGATATAGGTTCACAAATACTAATTGCCACAATAGTGTAGCTAAAACACCAGAAAGTTTGACAAAATCAGCGACTATGAAAACACGAGCGGCAACGAAAACAACAGCGCGTGCTTGTAGCGCGTGCAGACAAAACCACGTGATTCGATGCGTCATTGTTATTGGGGTAACAATGACTGCTCTGACCGGAGCGCATTCGAAGGTTCAAAATGTAAATTAGCAAAGAGTTTTAGCCTCGTAGGTATATTGTACATGTAAACTGGGCTTACAATTTTTTTTATTGTTGTTATAACTAACTACAGGGATATTTTTTGATTAAAAAATAATAATAATATATTTCTGCTGAAACACTGCACAAAAATTGTATAGACAGTGATTTTGGTGTCACCCCCTCTGATGGTGTCACCCGCTGCAGTCCGCACCCCCTTCGTGACGCCACTGCCTCTGATCCATGACGAAAGGAACCTGAATATTTTCGTGAGGAGTCGGCCACTGACTTAGATGAAACCACAGCAATTCCAGCAAATTGCCAGGCACTATTGCCATTTGTCACCCCCTAAAAGTCACATAGCTGCGGCTATAGAATTGTGAACTTTGAAAGAACACAATATCTAGCATAGAGCGTGCCTTGACATAAGCTCTGCCTGGTTGTTTCCTAAATTATGATTTTTTTTACAGATTTTGCGTAAAAAAAAATGAGTGACCGTCAATTGTAAGATTGTGAGTTGAAAACCTGGTTGTAGTTGACACAACCCATCATCCCTAGAAGGTCTTTAAATAGGTACCACATAGTGGGTCACGAACACTGCCTGTCCCTTGGGGAGATTGTCCACCACCTTGAGAACGTGACAGTTATTTTGACTCCACAGCAGAACCAATGTTGACTTTCTACAAAATTATAGATATTTCATTGACCCTCGAGGGGTGATACACTTGTTGCTCGGACTATGAGAAGTACATTCGTGTCAAGAATGTTGCAACAGTGAGCACCTTGTTCTAAATTTGAAGATAATTACAGAGATGTAAACATGGAACATGAATAATGGTCATATATAGCGAACAAAAACCTTGACTACAATTCTATTGGCATTAAAACATCTTTTTTTACGGATTGCCAAAAGTCCAGCGCATTTTAATAACACGGAGCCCGCAATTTGAACTGACTTGGCGAAAATCACAGCCGGGGCAAGGTTTGTACGAGGGTACACGGCAACAACGGTCGAAATAAACAATGCCTGCTTTGAAAAAAATGTAGCGGAGGTGAATAATGTGTGAAGGGTTGTTCCAGAGGGTGGGAAATATTTAATTGTGTGAAGCAACATTCCGTAACTAAAACGCAAACGAGCTGAATAGCAAACATATTTTCCCTGACCCACGTGGTTGAAGCCATTGGAACGTAGTGTGTGTTACCTCAAAGTAGAAGGTGGGAAATACCATAGACGTAGCCTGGCTCATGTCAACCGAGGGGAAATATTGACGGCAAAAAGCAACAACAACAATTAAAACAAACTCTAAAACCAAACGGCTGTTCGTAAATGCTTTCGCAGAGCTGATTTATGGAACCGAAGAGAGAAAGACGTCTTTGCAAAACCAATTCGCATTGCAGAACCTGTTACGTGCGTTTTACTCCACCCGCTTGTTTGTTTCTACTAATTAGGTTTTCGCGATGATGCTCTACGGCACTCCGCTGTTGTTTTGTGTGAGCTTCTTCAAAACACTGAATTGAATGTGAATTCACAACTCAAAATGCCCATCGGAGAGCGGGACTCGTTTGCCGCATGTCTGTTGGCCCCAGAGGTGGCTGATGAGGCCGATCCGGGAATCAGCTGACTGTGGTGGCAAGCGGGGCGCCGCCTGTTTCCGATCGGGATGGGTGGCCCTGGGTGATTGAATTTGGCCGCGACCTCGCTGCTGCCTTTCCACCGCTCCAACCTTGCTTCCCTCCTGTTGCCATTGTTGTGCTTTTCGAAAAGCCTGAGATCCCTGCAGCAGAATCTTCCTGCGTCTGGGGCGATCCATGGGCAATAGCCTCCTCGCGAGCCAGCGTCGATGTCGCAAAACGCTACACGTCGGCCTTGATGACGGTCCTTGGAAGCGCTTTCTCTGCCCTCCTCTTGAGCGTATGAACACCTCGACTGAGCTGGGAGAATGAAACTCGCTTCGAAGAGTCTGGAGTCGGACATCCAGGGGATGTGGCCGGGCCCAACAAAGTTGATGTTGGATGATCGTTGCCTCGGTGCACGTGGGGTTTGCCTCACGAGAGAGAGAGAGCATGGCGCGACTCTCTTGCAATTTCAAGCGTTGATTAATTGGCTGTCCAACTGTTGGTGATGAAGATTGGAATTTTTCATACAAATGGATGAAAAGGCACACCTGCCCAAAGGTGTAATCGACCAAAGCGTTTCGACATTCAGATGAGCATGGGGTACTGCTCATCTCCGTTTAAGATCCTGTGCCAGTGTTGGAATTTCTACTTTCCTACGGTAGACACCACCCTATGTGGAAGGTAACTTTTGACAATATGCCAAGTAGTACTAATTTTATTAACCCCAAAAGACATGTTAGACTCCGAACAGAGGTTTGAACTCCTGACCGTCTTGGCTTTGATTATCCACTCTGACCACGATCCCCATCCTCCCGTAATTAATGAATTTATAAGTTCATAATAAGTTTCTTAAAGTCATCCGCCTGCACCTAGCTAGGCACAGCAGTCAACCCATGGCACCTTCTGGTTCTGGTCCCATGACCTCCTCCTCCACATCCTCCTGTACCTAGCCTGGCACATCAGTCAACCCATGGCGCTACCTGGGTTATGTCCCATGACCTCGTCCTCCTGCACCTAGCCTGGCACAGCAGTCATCCCATGGCACCTGTTGGGTTTGTCCCGGTGACCTCCTCCTGCACCTAGCCTGGCAAAGCAGTCAACCCATGGCACTACCTGGGTCTGTCCCGTGACCTCTTCCTCCTGCACCTAGCCTGGCACAGCAGTTAAGCCATGGCAACCTACTGGATCTGTCTGGTAACCTCCTCCTGCACCTAGCCTAGCACAGCAGTCAAACCATGGAACCTGCTGGGTCTGTCCTGTGACCTCTTCTTGCACATTAGCCTGGCACAGCAGTCAACCCATGTTACCTACTGTGTCTGGTACCGTGACCTTCTTCTCCTGCACCTAGCCTGGCACAGCAGTCAAGCAATCGCACCTGCTGGGTCTGTCCCGTGACCTCCTCCTGCACCTAGCCTGGCACAGCAGTCAATCCATGGCACTACCTGGGTTTGTCCTGTCACTTCCTCCTCCTGCACCTAGCCTGGCACAGCAGTCAACTCATGGCACTAGCTGGGTCTGTCCCGTCACTTCCTCCTCCTGCACCGAGTCTGGCACAGCAGTGAAGCCATGGCACCTGCAGGGTCTGTCCCGTGACCTCCTCCTCGTGCACGTAGCCTCGTACAGCAGTAAATTCATGGCACCTGCCCTGCTGGGTATGGTCCCGTGACTTCCTCCTGCACCTAACCTGGCACAGCAGTCAACCTATGGCACTACCTGGGTCTGTGCCGTGACTTCCTCCTCTTGCTTCACCTAGCCTGGCACAAGCCAACCCATGGCACCTGCTGAGTCTGTCCCGTGACTTCCTCCTCGTCCTGCACTAAAATAAAAAAAAGTCTGCCAATGAGATGGAGCGATTAAATCAGCATGTGTGCAGGAGATTCTAGTTGGAATGTTGCTTAGATGAAACGTGAGAGGTGGCGATATCTTGGGGATGCCTTCATCCAGCAGTGGATTGACCATGGCTGAGGATTACATTATACTTTTCGGTAGCACATTATTCGTTGTTTAATAATTTCACTTGCATTTAATTTCTCTATAATAATGCAAGCTTAAAAAAAACACATTTTATACGTACTGTAAATATATTTTACAAGCATCCTAATGGCCCTTCAGTTACTGGTAAAAACAAATCCAGTGTGTGGATTTATAAACTTATACAATACAACGCGACACATGTAAAACTATTTATTGCAGTCTTACAATGAACTTCAGAAAAATGCACGCAAGTGGGAAGAATTTGTAATTAATGGTTGTTGCTTTTCTAGCATATGTAGGTAAAAGCAATACGTTAGAATTGTTTCAAGCTAAAGGGGAAAATGGCTGAGTGAGTGGCTGT